AGAAATATCTTCAACCACAGGATTTTACTCTCGCCGAAATTACTCCAGGTAATAACAATCTTCTTTATTATCACGAAATTTGAATTCATATCTAAATTTTGTCATATGGTTCATTTTATATAAGATTAAATCGATTGCAGCATATATCGATCTTACGGATACTTAATATTACATAATTCAATCTTATAATTCCTCCAATAATTTCTCACAAATGAAATGCTTAAACATGTTATTTATCTCAATTATATCTATGTTTTTAGGAAATCTTAGAATCCACGTAATTTTATAATTAGAGCATACATATAATTTCTCTTCTGCAATCATAATTTCCCAGTTTTATGTAATATAATGCATTTCGGAATTTTTTTTTTCATTCATTATTCTTAGATTTTTCTATTTGAACTTTTACTGGCATATTTTTATATCGATAATAATCAAACTAATTAAGAACTTCAAAGAAAGATTTTTTGCATTCTTCACCTTTACACCATAACATTTGTAATTTGAAAATGATCTTGATGATAATATTGAACTAGCAAATATTTCTTTATTTTTTCATCGCACTACTTGACGAACAAGCAATGATATTTCATGATTTTAGCCCAAACTCAATCTAACACTTTTTTCATATCAATATTTTATCTTTATAAATTAAAAAATTCATGCATGCTTACTTCACTTAAACTTTATTTCACTTTTGTTTTATTAAATATAATAATATCATTTTATCTGTTATGTATCTAACATGAATTAATTCCACAAGCATTAGTAAGTCAAAAAAAATTTAGTAGCAATACTTATTCAGAAACCGGTTTATTTTTTTTTGTACGTATATAAATTTAATTGAATTTCAAAAAACGTTTCAGTGGAGAGAATCAGCGAGGAACAACTAAGTTCCATTATTAATTCTCAACTCTTTGAGGGTGACATTGTGGGTATCGACGCAGCTACCACGATATCGACGTTAATTTTAAGAGATGAACCACTAGATCCATACGATTATTTATTCAAAATCCCTGTATGTTTTTTTTTTCTTATGACAGTATTTGATAATGAAATCCTGTTTGAAACTTCAAATGTCATTATTTTTGCAGTTTCATAGTGCATTAAATTTGGCGACATATAAGGATAAGCTATGGCCAAATGGACAAATACCATATTTGTTGGAAGAAGGAATGTCAGTATCGTGAGTTTTTTTTTTAATTTTTTAGAAGGGAAATAAAAAAATAAAAAAAATTGGCAATTATAAATTTTAAATTACATGGAGTTTTGGATCATCCGAAAATCTTAAAGAATGTTTAAAACCATTTCTTTTTCTTACAACCAGAAAACACACTCTTTTTTTCATCTTATCCTATCACTTGTTAAACTTTTTTAAAATGAAAGTAGGTAATACAATATATTTGCAGGCAAAGGATAGCCATCGCGCAAGCATTCGATGAATACAAAAGTAAAACCTGTATAAAATTTGTACCAAAGACTGATGATGATATCGATTATATAGTTATCAAAAGGAATACAGCCTTCGGGTTAGTTGCTTTCATTAAATGCCATTGATTAATATATGACTTTGTCCATTTTATCCATCTATTTTTGAATATGAATTGTTCTTTAGAAATATTCAATTAAGCATTTGATTTATTCATAACGAAAATTTCCACTACCTCCTACACATGTTAGTATCAGTTGTTCTTGAATCCTAATCGAAATTTAATGTTCTCAATTATTTGAAAATTGATCTAAATTAATTTAGTTGTTCGTCATATGTTGGACGAGCTGGTGGTAACCAGACGGTATCCTTAGAAATTAATAAATGTTTTGCAAAGGGAATCATTGCACATGAGTTGATGCATACGATTGGATTTTTTCATGAGCATTCACGTACCGATCGCGATCAATACGTGGACATCATCGAGGAAAACATTCGACCCGGTACTCGGTACACTTAAGCTTAGATGTCTCTCTCTCTCTCTCACCTTGACTAACTCAATCTAACGTCCAATTTAACTAGATGATAACTAGAATCAATATCAAGGCAAACATATTAAAAATTCAATTTTTCCAAATTAAAAAAAATCGGATGACAAATTCAGTCCTGCTTCAGCATAGTTTTCCCTATTGGTCCAAGTTTGTTTTTTTTCTGGAAATGTTTATACAAATAAAATTTGATCTTCGTTGAATTCTAGGGATGCTACGAAACTTTGAAAAATATCCAAGAAAAGTTATTGATTCATTGGGGATGCCCTACGATTATGATTCGATTATGCATTATCACAAACTCGCATTTTCCAAGAATGGCCGATCAACTATTTTGCCTAAAGTTGGTAGTTTATTTTTCTTTACTGGGAAACTTATTATTGTTGGCAACTTAAACAGTAGATGAAATTGAAGAGAAAAGTTCAATTGTTGACATTGTTGAATTTTTTAATGTTCAAACAATTATTACATCAATATACAGTTTTATCATTAACAAAGTCGGATCAAATGATGCAGCAGTGCTCTTTTATAATTCCTTTTCAAAATGTTTCCTGAAGGTATGAAATTCTAATCAAATTATGTATTTTTATTTTCGTTAAATGTTTTATGCTAAATAGTTTAGGATCGAAGTGTAAAAATTGGACAGCGATACAGATTGAGTGTTATTGATGTGAAAAAGATAAACAAGCTTTATAACTGTACCCAACCAGCTCTCTCAACACTATCGCAAACAACAGCAACAAAAGCAACAACAACAGCAACAACAACAACAACAACAACAACAACAACAACAACAACAACAACGACAACAACAACATTAGCAACTACTGCTGCTACAGTAACCGATGAAAGAAACATTACAACTACTACGTTGTCCGCGCCTAACACAAGCGATCGATTAGAAAATACGGTAACACGACATCCGTTTCGCCCACTTCGGACTAGAAAACCTCTAATCGTTCGACCTACTATAAGTACTGTAAAAGAAAGAACAATATTGGCCACAGGTACTTAATTTCGACCTAAAATTGATACGATCTCAAACTTTTAAAAATTCAATACAATATACTTTTGATAACATGTATTTTTTCGAATTATATAAATCTTGACAGATTTATTAAAATTCTTTTTCTAAATATTTAAGTGTGATAATCTTAATAGAACAATTATTAATTATAATGATAAAAGAGTAGTATTTCTGTCACTTAATTTTCGATATCAACTTCATCATGTCTTCATTGGGGAGATGATATTTACATTCATTCAACAAAAAAAAAACTCTTTCTCATTACTTCTTTCAAATCCATCTCTTCTCTTTAAATGCTTGACAAGAAGCGTCGTTTTTCACTTTTTTGAATAATGACTTTTAAAAAATTTAATTATTATCCTTTTTTAAATTGCAGTTTGTGAGGATCAGAATGCACACTGTGAAATGTGGCAAAAACTTGGCCATTGTCAATATTCACCAAAGTATATGGGTCACTATTGCAAAAAAGCATGCGGACTCTGTCCACCAAAAATAAGTTAGTATTGAAATCATTGAAGTTTTGGATTGTAAATGTGAAAGTGAAATAAAATAGCACCAGTCATCGATATCGTAACATTCCTTGGTGTTCTTAACCCGAATCTTTTTCAAGATAGGAGAAAAGTGATGTTCAACAATCATTTAATTATAAATTTTAGATAAAAAGAAATTAAATCGGAAAACGGAATCAGCACGATGTTTGGATAAGAATTTATTCTGCAGTTATTGGGCAAGCATTGGGGAATGCAATACCGGCAGTAAATTTATGATGATATTTTGCAAGCGATCGTGTAATAATTGTGCAGCAAAGCGGGAAATGCTATCCAGCAATAAATAAGGCCAACGATCCGAACTAGGTCGTGCAGATTTCTATTAATTACAACCTGTGGTACTTCCTAAAACGGGTCCATTAAATACACTTGTGAAACTTAAACCGTGAGAATAACAGCCATGACAATAACTTATTAATATGGAAAATAAACCATTTTTTATTATATGATGCAGAAATAAAAGAAAATCGTTTTTATGACCTTCGGAATGATCTTCTGTCCATTCCATGTGAAAGCTTTCCGGAAAAGACTTTTAATATCAGATTGTCCTAGTTCATGTCGCTAGAAAGACTTTTTCCGACATTAAATTACCCCGGTTCACTTATGAAGCTTTCCAAAAGATGATCCTGATATCACATTGATCTCATTCATGTTTTCTAAGACCTCTCTGGAAGATAGTCTGATATCAAATTATTCCAGTTCATACCGCTTCTAAGGCCTTTCCGAAAGATAGTCCTGTTATTAAATCCTTGTAATTCATGTAGGAGTGAAATCTTTTCGGAAAATGCTGATCACATTAGTCACATTATGACTCAGTAGTTATAGCAGCAGCCTATTCTCAGACCTGTCCCAGACCCAGTAACTAAAATCTTTAGTACCGCTTAGATGACAGCGGCTCCTTACGTGAATTGTCCGATCAGAAAGCAAACTTTGGTAAATAATTATTTGTTACTAAGAGAATATAAAGGCATGTGTAAGAATACGAATGTAAAATCGCGAGCGAGTGCCGAAATAGCGTTTTGGCTATAATCAAAACAAGTATAAAGCTGACTGTAATGCTTGGATTCAATTAGTAATGTCCTAGCACATGTGGGAGAGCGCTGGGCTATCTGTAGAAGATATTGTTGGAAAAGATGACAGACAGTTGCAAAATAGTATGGCATTGAGGAGAGACGTGATCGGAAGAATACGTAGACAGCTATCAACAGTTTTGGTGGAGTGTTTGAAGGCTCCAAAACATGCCGCACATTCTCTTGCAAATTTAACTATTCCAAATGCTCCGAAAATCGTGGAATTTTGGGGTATTTCTGATCAAAAATTCTTCGAGAAGATTTGTTTAGGGTTTAGTCAAAGAGAAATCCCACAAAATTTTCGTTAATTTTATGTTTACTATTTACTTTGCTATTGTCTCTTGCAATGCTCTCTCGCACCATCAACTTTATCACCACCGATCACAACTATACTATCCACACGAAACGAAACTGTGACATAAAGCGAATGAAAATTAAATCCACAGCACGAAGTTTCCATATACCCACGCAATCCTAAAAACCATCATCGGCTCATGCGATACACAATCTTAACCATTTCACACAAATCCCACATGGAACCTGCAATTCGTGTTAAACGGTGAAGATGGAGGAAAACGAAAGCGAAATATACTATCTTCATGTTTTGCATAAAACGAAACAAATCCGATTAACACTGCAAGATTTGTAACGTTTGAACAGTACGATGTGCTACGTGCAAAATAATATTTTCTGATGTCGGCCTGTTATTTTATTACACCTGTTAATGTTAATAATAGAGCTGTTATTTTCTGATTAACTGGCGGTATTCTAGCAAATTCCTATTTTCAGAAGTGCATATAAAAACCTGAATTTATTGGTATTGGTGCTCAGTATATCATATTTATTGCAAGAAACATAAACAATGAATTCAAACTTCAATCCTTCGTAATTTTTCATTAGAATTTTTACAATCATTTATGAAAATAATTATTGATATGATACTATTAACATTAACTTATTGATCTATAGTGCTTGGAATATATATATCAGTTATGAAATTTTGTCACTGCAAATGTACTTCCCACAAAGTAATAAAGATAAAAATTTTGCATATGCTAATAGTACAAATTACTTGAGATTATTATTAGTGCTCTGTGAAATTGAAATCATTTGTTCATTTTAGAGCTGAATATAGGAAAACTTCAAGAGCGGCAAATTGGAACATGAAAAATACCACGAAACCTCACAATCCATTTTTCATGAATGAATGGTTAGCCTTATTTTGATTAATTATATTAAAGCTAATGCATATTCACGTGAGAAAAATGATTCCTTCTATTTGGCAGAGTGCTTCGCGGTCGTTCGTTTTTTGGTTTGTTCATTCATTCAGTGAGGTGCACATTCTAACTATGAATTGATTATTGATCATCTCAAATAGATTGATCAGATCATTTAATTTGCTTGCTAATTAAGCTATTAACATTTTAGAAAGTAATTTTTATATAACCAATAATATAGCGCCACCTAAAAAACTATATCTATTTTGTTTGATGTATCGAACGATATTTTCTGCATTTTTTGTTAAAGAGATATTTACATTGCTGTCTGAGTTGAATTTCATCAATTCATTTTAAAATTAACCCAGCAACTTCGGTAGACCTTCTTTTCCCTATCCTTTTTGAACTGGGCGTTTATTTTTAACAGTATGAAAAAATGCCGCCCATTGGTATTTGCTGACTTGAGCCAATGAAACAATTAAGAGTCATTAAGCAGTCTTCGAATTAGTGATTATTAATTGCTAGATGGTGTCGTCAAGTTAATTACATGACCCTGATTGGTTTGCAAGTGAAATATTACACCACTTTAATGTTTCGCGTTACTAATTTAGGTGCTACCTTCATGATATATTGGTTGGGATATGAAATAAACTGTAATTGTTCTTTTTGTCATAACTTTTTTTGGATCCAAATTGGCATATTTCTCGATTATTTAAGATTTTTGAAACCATTTTGTTCGAGTCAGTAATTATGCATTTCTAAAAAAAAGTCGAAATGCAAGAAGTGTTCGTCGAGACTTGGTTTACTCCGAACCAATTTTAAGCAAACTTGAAAGATTAGACGGGAAAGTTGAATGAAACAAATTATGACATATTTATAATCCAGTGAAAGATATACCTGTGATATGTGTGCTAAAGTGCTTTAATGGCAACTTTTAGAAGTTTGATTGTGAGAATTATTTGATAAAACTTCACAGAATTATTGATCACTCATTGCTATTTTGATTACTGAAAGTGCAATAATGGTTTTTGAAAAGCTTCAAGCAACTTCTGTACAGAAAAATCCTATTTTATTTTAACCGCTAGATCAGTGAATCCAAACTATCAATAGCTTAATTGGGAGGCGAATTAAACAGCATTATATCTAAATAGTGTAAGAAATTATAATAGTTTAAACTATTATAAAAAAAATTATTAGGCTTTTCAGAATTTTGCTAAACCAGCTTATATATAAAATAATAAATTTAATTGATATTGGAAGAAACAATTCACATAACTACTTTCAGCACTCCATTTACAAGAAGACAGAATAAAGGGTTCATAGAAATCACGAATAATAAAAATAAAATGAAAGGTATGTTTTTTTTTTCCTTTTCGTTTTATTATTGTTTTACATTTAAATTATTTATAATGCAGCTTACCTTATTTTATATTGTAACATTTTATACCACGAAAAAAGTCTATTTGCTGCTAATAATCTGATATCATTTTCTTTTCCAAGTCTTCCTATTTTGATTTCAATTAACTCATTTTCACTTTATCTTTTACTTATCTTAAGCAGGTAAGAATGATTACCTATCATTTTATATTGAACTTATACAACCTAATCGATGAAATCATCGTACTAGCAATCATGCTCATTTCTGTTTGTAGAAAATATCGTTGACGACGAATGGATAGACATGGGATTGCTATTTAAAGAGATACGATTTCTCAGACAGAAAAATTTTTGGTGCCCAAATCTATGCTCTGAGGTTCGTGAAATCTAATTTCATTTATTCGAATTTTACTCTTTGTATTTAGCTCTCATATTAAGTGGGTCCATGCGTCATTGTAATTATTGGATTGTACCGCAGTGTATTAAATTATCGAATGAAGCTTAATCTATGTTGAAATATTTTTGAACTGTTTATCACGTACAATCTCGTTCATGTTTTTTCAAATGATAGGATATTCAAATACTCGACATTATTATTTAACGATAAGTCTACGATGATTATGTAAAAAAAAATCTCTATTTTCAAAAATGTCGTAAAACCGAGGTTTCATGCATTCCTAGCTTTAGACAAAAAAGTGTTCAAATAATCAAAATTCTATTGTGAAATAGCTGTAAGCATATGCTATAGACTTTTTTTCAAAAAAATCATGTTATCATATTTTTAGGATTCTGATAACTCATCACATATAGAAATTACTGGAGAAAAAAAAATGCTAATCGTGTTTGATACCAGTGGTCTCCTTCGCGACACAACTTTACTACCTCTTTGCTTCGAAAGTGTGTTTTATTCCTTTATTTAAAATTTTATTAAAATAATTTTAATTATAGAAAAATCAAGTCGTACATCAAATTCCTATTTCTATGCTATCAGTTGCAGTTATCCTAAATGCATCATAAGATTATGCGTTGTATTTGCTTGTTTTATTCAAGAATTTTTTTTTCTTCGTTTTGTACAGTTATTACTCTCGCAAGATCCACTAAATAAATATTTGCCACTTTACAATTTCTTTGCAGAATCGTGTCATATGCTTATTCCATATACTGTTATAAAAGAACTGGATGGACTGAGTAAAAGTGTAAGTATATCAAATTACCGAGTCAAAGTGAAATATGAAGTTTGATTGAGCAGCATTACTTGTTCTATCCTCCATTATTCTTCGTTTGGTAAAACACGAGAAAAAGTGTTCTACAACTCTGGAAAATTTAATTTTATCCTGTATTGTGTACATCATAAAATCAAACTGCTATTAATGAACCAATAGTTCGCTAAAAACTTCTAAGACTTATGCATTAAAGTATCCAGTTAGAATTTTATGAAAAGCAGTGAGCATAAATGAATCATTGAACTTTTTATTCAATTTAATATATTCAGATTAACTTTTCAGCTAAACACAATGAGATTTTAATACTCTACATTGTCAATAATTTTTATATCATAACTAGAAGATTTATCATAGGGATACGAGAAATTGCGAAAGAAAGTCATACGAACATACGGATTTTTACATGAATATTCGAAAAAAGAATGTAATTATTTGCACATCGAAAGTATTTATGAGGTATATTTGGTATATTTCAATCAAAAATAAGCCTCAATTATCAGTTAAAGAGTAATTTTTGATTGTGATCTCACTCTTATTGTAAATTTTATAGTTTCTAATATGATTGAATTAATGGTACCATTTCATTTAATGATCATTTTTTCTATTTTCATGCATTTTTGTAGGCTTCATACTGTGTAAAAGAATTCGGATGCCAAAACAATGATGATGTTATCCTGAAATGCGCACTGATCAACACTAAACAATGTTGGTTATTTGTTTTCTTTTTGGCTCTTTAATTATTTGTAAATGAGTAATATAAATTCATTCTCTTATTAAATGAACTCTTTGGTTCATTTAATTTGAATTCGTTATCATTATTTACAGAAATCATTCATACAATTTCATCAACTTCATTCACTTCCTTACTTTTATCACTGGATCAAGACATAAGAATGATAATGTTTTAACTGCTTCTAATCATCCTCTATCCATCCCATTACTTTCATTGATTATTTTTATATATTATGTATGGCATATTTTGCTTATCATTTTTTTCAGCAAAAATTAATGTAAAGCAGAATTCTTTTAGACAGAGATGAAGGAATATTGGTAATATTCGTTACAAATGACAGAGGCCTTGCAGTGAAAGCAACGGCGCATAATATTTACACAGTTGATACAAAGGTGAAATTTGATTATCATATAATTCATCTTTAGCAGTTTTTCTAAATTCCTTTTTTGATGATGATTTTTTAAAGTAGTACTTAGACGTATGCATACTGCAATCTGTTACGCATATATTAAGGTTGTTTGCTGTTTGTTTAAAAGATTGTTTGAATATTTAGCAATGACGCTACCGCAGGCTAAACATAGTTGAGAATGAAACTTTTAATTTAACCGTAAATTTTTATCCATTTGTTAGTTCAATTACCGATGATTAAGATTTTAAGGAAATTTTCTATTATTTTTTATCGAAGCGCATGTAAAAATGATGTGACAAAAAGTTCTGATTATGAAAATAATCAATGCTTATTGTCACATATCATCACAAATATTTACATTACCTGCCTGTATTAGATTTTCATAATGATCCAATCAAAATAATCTTTCTTAATAAGCATTTCTTTAACAGTGAAAATGTTCATTGTTTTTTTAATGAAACAAATTTACCGAGATTAGAGCTGAGATGAAGTTTTGATTAATCGATATAATTAAATTTATTTCCCTGTAACAGTTTCAAAATAATCTGGATTTGGTTATATTTTCAGGAATTGATTGAATTTCTGATAACCAAAACATCAGAAGGCAAGCGACAAATGTTTCTGCAATACAATTCAGCAGAAACTCCTGCACAGCAAAAATTTTTGCAATACAAATCAATAGAAACTTCTGCGCAGCAAAAGTTTTTGCAATATAAGTCAGCAGAAACTCTTGCACAAAAAAAGTTTTTGCAATACAAATCAGCACAAACTCTTGCACAGAAAAAGTTTTTGCAATATAAATCAGCAGAAATTTCTGCGCAGCAAAAGTTCTTGGAATACCAATTAGGCGAATCTCCTACAGAGCAATACAGATCAACAAGAACTTTTACACAGCAAAAGTTTTTGCACTACAGATCTACAGAAATTTCTACACGACAAAAGTTTTTCCAGTACAAATCAGCACAAACTCTTGTATATCAAAAGCTTTCGCAGTACAAATCAGCACAAATTCTTGCACAGGAGAAATTTTCGCAATACAAATCGACAGAGATTTCTGCAAAGCAAAAGTTTTTGGAATACAGATTAGCAAAAACTCCTAATCAACAAAAGTTTTCGCAATACAAATCAGCGAGAATTTCTGGGCAGCAAAATGGATTCCTGCATTCTACATCTATTAACTACGGAATAAAGGGCAATTCAGTTGTACCTAACAATTTCGAGAATTATTCATCTCGAAGTCTTACACCAATAGCATCCATGTGTCCATCTGAGTCGCAAATCTTTACGCGGAACAATCAGTTTCCGTTTCAAAACACATTTCGCACGCCTTTATGGGGTCAACCACCATCATCAATTTCCACAGATGCTCACTTTCTACAAACAGTTTTTCAAATGTTCGCTGAAATGGTAAGCAACTTCAATTCATTTAAATATAAGTTGAGTTCTTAGTTGAGTTCTTATGAGTTGAGTTCTTATGAGAACATTAATTAGTTGATGAGATTGTATTAGTTTTACTTGAACTTTAATCCATATGATCAAGTTCTATATCGAAAAATAATCTTTTGATGAGTTGCAAACCTTGAAATGAAGTAGGGATAAGATCCGAAAAATCGGTGTAATGCGTTTGGTATGGAAAAGTAGGATATCTATCCATGGTTTATTCAACTTTTTTATAGTCAAAATCTAGTCTAGCTGAAGGTTAACTTAGTTACTAGTGCTATTGAGACTATATCATCATTAAATATTACGCTTTTCTTAGTAGTAATATCTTGAATAATTGATATGACCATATATAAATTACTTAAGAGAAATGCTCGTGCCTGAATTAATTAGGCAGACTACTTATAGTCCGACTTCATTCCTTAATTCATTGACTAGACTATCTATAATTCGTATTACTTTCTTACCACTTCAAGATATATGTTTATTCCGTTCCGTTTTAATAGCTACTCTGCCGTTGCCAATTCTTCTTAATGATGATGTGATAAATTTTAAGAACATCACTTTCATAGACTACGTGAACTTTACAGGTCGCTACAAAGTTGTAAAAAAAATCAATAATAATTGCTCCTTGTTAATTCTTTGTTATTGTTACAGATTTATGAAACATATTGAACTCAGTTCATCTACAAAGATAGCTTTCCACCAGAGGTTTAGCAAACTATAGAATACTAGCAAAAAAAGAGTATTTTTTCTAATCAATTAGAATAGGTCAATTTTGCTCTAACCGTATAGCTTTTTTTGATCTCTTTGCGGTATTTTTTGATATAAAGATTTTTTTTTGCTTCTTTTGATCGGATAATTTGATAGTGAAATGGTATGAATCTGTATCTAAAACTTTGATTATGAGATAGTTTAATCTATCCAAGAAGTTTTGAAAAAAACTATTATCAAATGCTTCGTGTTGAGATGAATTTCTTAGATCACAGCAGTGAAATTGATAAGTGATGTAACAGAGCATTATGAAATGTTATTTAGAAGTATTAAAATGGTGACTTTGTATTTTA